GTTATTTCAAAGAGTCCAACCAAAGCTTAATGAAGCCTGTAAACTAAAAATGGTGGATTTTTTATGTTGGTTCACTTGCTGCAGCGGTGCATGGCGTGGAAAATGATGCTGCATCCCTATAACCTGCTCCAGTGCAAGATGTGTATGAGATAAGAAATCAGTAGGTACGAGATTACCGCCTACTGACCAATCAGTTCTCTGGAATATAGCACCATCATTCCTGGAACAGAACTCCGTGCACGGACAGTAGGAAGGTCTAAGGCTTCTTAAAGTCTTCCCTGATGAGCATCGATAAGAATCGTGGAATAAAATTACTCAGAAAAACAAAGCATTAATCTAAACATTCATTTCTGTCTGAATGACAGAGCTGCGACTCTGAGCCTTTATTCCTCACGACATCAAACAGGCAAAACCTTATTAATAAAGTGGAGCGACATGTCAAAGCTCACACACTCACACTGCTGCTTTCAGCTTGTATTGTGTTTAAACTGCTCATATGTTTCTATTATTTTCATTTGAAAGCAGCTGCCTGTGGACCTGTCTCTGTTTGCCATATGCTGCAAACATCGCCTCCTCCATGAAAACTTCACTCATCACCAGACTGACAAACGCAGTGTTCACGTAACCAGCTGACGTCCATCACTGTGTACCAAGTATCCTGACTGTTAGTGTGCGTGAAGCCAGAAAAGGTCACGTGTTATTTCCCCTCGTCACATGATCCGTATTATGTTTTCAACTGGCTGAACAAAAGCAGTATTTCAGCTGCAGAACACACGGCACACTGGACACTTCATGGATGGCATTGTTTGTTAGATAATCACAGATAATAATTATCTCTGATTAAGCTGCATGGTCAGAGAAAATAACTTTACATAAAGGCACTGAGAAGGTCATCCTACCAGTCCTCCCCTTCTTGTCCCGGGCATGAGGATCCGCTCCCAGCTCCACCAGTGTGTTTATAGTGGACGTGTGGCCCTCCTGAAAGAGATGCATGTCAGTACGACTCGGAGAAGGATCTGTAGCCCGTGCTTTGCCTCGAGGCTTTTGTTCTCGTTATGTTCGGTATGTGAGTCTTGTATCAGCAGTCTGAGAAAACTGTTCATTCACTCTTCATGGCTACAATCACAGACGACATAAAACAGCCTCCAGTAATTCTTGTAATGAAGAGCACTTTTTTATCAGTAAGCACTGCTTTAGCTGCTGTTAGCTGCTGTTAGCTAACATTAAATATCAGTGAATCAAACATTGTTGGACACTTAGCAAATGACCTCTCATACAATGTGTAAATGTAATCAAACTGTTTATCAGAGAGAAAGTGGGATTTTTTTCACCCACGTCTAACATTAGCTTATCACCAGCTGTTGTTGTTTAGCCAGCTCATCTGGACTGCATCAGTGAAACTACGCCATAAAGGGGTCAAACTACAGGAAAAGTGCTGTTAGTTCATTGTGAAGACTGTCCTGTAATTATAAAATATGACATTTTGTAAAAGTTTGAACTGACTGCAGTAACGTTTTTCCACAGTTTTCCCACACAGTGGAAAAACGTTATTTAATTCGTACAGCGTGACCGTCAGGCGTGGGGATGGGTCTTTATCAAAAGCTGGAAAACGAATGAAAATACAGTAAAAATAGATGCACTTCTGCACTTTTCCCAAAGCTGTGCAGGGGGCCGGATTAGAGTGTTTGCCGGGCCGATTCCGGCTCTCGGGCCACATGTTTGACACAAAGGTTTGGAAAGATAAATGTAATATTCCTGAAGGATGAAACTATTCCTCCTTCAAACCAGCAACCCGTGAATTTCAGCGTCACGCCTCGACATCCTCCGCTCCACCAGCTGAGCCATGACGAGGCTCTGCTGTTAGTAAATATTAACCACTCCACACAACAACACAGCAAAATACCTGAAACTTCTCAAGTCATCCCATCTTGGTCCCTTTCCTTACATTCCTACGCTTATTTATTTATCTTTCCCAACCATTCCGAAGCTTCCCACCAGACTGCTGAAGGAGACCAGAGGGAAATCCCTGCTCTGACCTTGGCAGCGTAATGCAGGGCGGTGAGCTGGATGCTGGTCGCCCTCTGGTTCACCTCGACATTCAAGTCCTTCACCAGAAACCGCAGAGCCTCATCCTGGCCTGTGACGGCTACCTGGTGCACTGGCTGAGCCCCGAGTATGTCAGCAGCTGCTGCAGATGCCTGTGGCGCACACACACACACACACACACACACACACACACACACACACACACACACACACACACACACACACACACAGGTCAGGTGGAGACACTACATATAACTACGTCAGTGCAGAAACATTACTGCAGGGGACTGCTTTCCTCCACCTGGTGCTCGTCTAAAAGAAGCCTGGCCACAGAGATGTGTCCATTCCTGATGGCGTCCATGAAAGGCGTGACTCCACAGCTGTCAGTGCTGTCAGGCATGTAGCCACATCTGGAAAAACACCAGTAAATGTAAGGATCAGTCAGACAAAGTTATCCGTGAGCTGCGAATCAGCATCAAGCAGGTGGAGCTACATTTGTGCCAAAAGAAGTCGCAGAAATTTAAGAGTGCAGAAATTTTCAGTGTCATAAAAAACAACTTAAATTTTATAACATCTATCTAACCTTTGACTTCTGCGTCACATTTAAATACATTTTTATACTGTGAATTTGTCATTTTAGGGCATTTTGAGTTGACATGGGCTATATATGTAAGAACTGCTGACAACTAAAGTCAGACAGCATCCAGAGTTGACTGGATTTGGCGTTAAATATGCAGCAGAATTAGTCTCCATGTAAAATTTCAACATACCTGTCCAGCAAGACCTTAACCACCTCCTCACATCCATGCATTGCTGGATGAACAGAGAAAGTGTAAGTTATATGATTTCCCCTCACGTCACATCTCCACATACTGTAAGTACAGACACCTGCGGTGTGTAGTGGCGTCCTGCGTGTCCTGCTCTCCGTCCTCCAGACGTCTGGTGCAACAAGGAGCAGGTGCTGTATGACCACAGGGTCTCCCTCTCTGCAGGCGATGTGGAAGGAGTTCCAGCCGTCCTTGTTTCTCAGTGCGGGGTCGGCACCGTGGCAAAGCAGCTCCTGGATCACGTCCAGGTTCCTCCGAGTGCACGCCATCATCAGCGGAGTCCTGAGAGCAGAGACACAAATCTCCTCTGACAAACAAACTTACTGCAATTGGTGGATATATTCATACACTCTATGTAGAAGATCTGTCCCGTACTTACTGATAGAGCCACTAGGGGGCGTGGATAACCAGGCGAAATATGGAGTGAAGTTGGAAAGATAATGTGCTGCTGCTGTCCTACTGACCTGTTTTTATTTGTTTCCTGCGCTACAATCATGGAACATATTATACAACGTGTAATATCTTCACATTTTAAGAGTAGCTTATGAAAAAAATAATATTACAATTTCTTTCATGTTAATTTTAAACGACCGTACTGAATATACCCCAAACGGAGCACACAGATACAGTCTGAGCACTGTAGAACAGTCAGTGTTTAACAGGGCTGGACTGTAAAGCCTGAATTTGAAATAATGTACATTTAATTGTAATAACGTATTGTATTGTCAGCTATTTTTACCAATAAGCCCCTTCGATTTCCAACTAGAAACACAAATTTATTGAAGTATATTAAAGAAAAGTAAAGCCGCTCCTTCAGGTATATTTAGCTAATATTACGCCATTTGTTTATAGTTGTACTGTTCTGTCGAGTTAAAAAAGGTAACTCCTTCGAGCCGGATTCGAACCAGCGACCTAAGGATGTCAGCATTCAGCCTCTACAGTCCTCCGCTCTACCAACTGAGCTATCGAAGGGCGGTAACCCCTCCCACAGCGAAGCCAGCTTTAAAGTGAACCCGGAAAAGATGGCGCTTACTTCTTCCTCCTTCCTTTTGGAGTAGGGTTACAGTAATGTAGTAACACGTTAACAGGTTCTTTCTCACCAGTCAGCCTTCTTCAGACTGTCCACTTTGGCGCCTTCTTGGAGCAGGTAGCTAACACAGTCCTTGTGGCTCATGGAGGCTGCTTCGTGTAGCGGCCTCTTATAGTCGTTGTTGTACACCTCTACATCCAAGCCAACCCTCTTTATCAGGTACTTTACAATGTCCAGGTGTCCATGCCTTGCGGCGTAGTGCAGCAAGGTGTCTCCCGACTTGCCGAAGTGTTTGCCACTGACAGTTTGCGCCGCAGTCGAGCCGCCTAATGTTATGTGTTTCTCCAGCGCGGCCAACTGTCCGTCCTGAGTGAGCTTCACTAGCAGCTTCGAAGTGTTTTCATGCATGCTGGGTGGAAGTTAAATGCTGGAGCAGAAACTGGCCTACGGGCCAAAATAAGAACAGTTACTCTGAAGTGTTGAAGAACACACGCTGGCCTGTTTACCAGCGCGATTCCTGGTTGAGCTGCTTAAAATCACGTGGCCAACCATGACCTAACCCTGTACCTCTGAAACCAACATAAAGCACGCAAGTGTTTGGTTTTTTACGTACTTATAGCTTGATCAAAATTCTAAATATTATTATGAGCACTAATAGATTTTTTTTTTGCAATTTAAGATTAAAATGACCTGAATTATACAGTGTGTACATATTGCTACAATTTGATGAGAAACCTTTTATACAACAGTCAAAACAAGGTTAGAGCCGTCACTTGGATTAGGAAAGAAAGAGCATCATTGCCCTTATAGGAGGGCGTGGCCATGTGGATTGTGGGAGATGTAGTTGTTGTAGCAACGTGATATGGCTCTCTAAACTTTAGAGAGTTCACGTTGCAAATCACTTTGCTCTTTACATTAAAGACAATTTTGGTCGTTTAGACTCTAAATTGTCTTTAATGTAGTTAAATAATAAAGAAAATTTAGGTTAATAAATGATTACTGGAATAATGTTAACACATCTCATGAGGGTAATATCACAGACTTTCTTTTTCTCTCTGACAAAATACCAAAAGTGGATCAGATATTGCCGTCACTGGTCTTCTAAACGAGATAATCCAGCATCTGGCTAACAAGAAGAAGACCAACAAGACGAGTCACATCTGGAGGAAAAGGTGGGGGGAGAGAAAAGCGGGTGAGTCTCAGTCCTCAGAGGTTTTACAACACAGACCATCAGCTCCACGAATGGGACTAGCTGTAACCTCCACGCTGTTCTTGCTGGTGAGTGTGTTTCAGACATTTGACTTTGTACTGCACTTAAAAACAAAAGATGGCTGTCGTATCAAAGCAGCACTGACACACCTTCATGCTTTGCCATCTAAAGGAGCTTTTATTCCTCTTTTTTGTTCTACAGATAGTTTTATGTCTGTTATGGTTGCATGATGTTGTAATGTGTAAGGGTTTAAGTAAACCACAGAGCTTTTTGTCATTTTACACTAACGTGCTCTGCTTAAAGATTTCCATCTAAGCTTTTAACTTCAGCTCTCAGCGCTCGGTGAAAGCGTCTGTTTCAGTTACTTCTCTACATTAATGGCTCTTTGTGGACAGAGGACAAACACAAACTGTTTTCAGAGTGATGGTTTCTGCACTGCACCATCACAGATTCACACACCGTGAGGACTTTGTGCTGATGGTGAAAAAGTGGTTTTCTAAATCTAAGTATAATATCACGCACTTGTTAAACTATTGGTATAAACTGACACTGACAATGTGAAACTGCACTGAGATGCATTAAGAGGACATATTACATACAAGAATACTAAAGTGTAACTTCTGTAAATGATGAGTTGTTCAAATGCAGCCCAGCTGTTGGGCAGCTCTGCTCTTCCCAGCTAAAGCTAAGCAGTTCCAGATGTTTCTGAATTCTCTGAAGAGCAGCAAATAAACCAGAAACAAATGCAGGACACAAACTGCAAGTCCTGTTGTATTTCAGCTGACAGCAGCTCTGGTGAAAGGCTGCAGAGTAGGCGTCATTATGAGCTAATCAAGCTGCCATCCTCTCTGGGCAGATTTTACATTTTAAACTTAAAGCATAATTAATGGGGTGTTGGTAAGAATCCCTTATTTGTCTCATGAAAGGGGAGACTTCACCCCTCCGCTCACTGTGTGAGCATTTGTTGTATTTGTATAAAGGTTTGAGAGGCTGGTAGGCAAACACATGCCCCGATGCAGCCGGCACCAGAAAGGAAGGAAATACTTTGGACTCAGCCACGTGTCAGCCCTTGTCTCACTGAATCTGTGTCTGGTCACATCACTCTGCTTCATGCAAAGGTCTTTTTGTGTTACTTTTCACTGTAGCTTTTGTTCGAGCTTAGAAACAAACCTACTGACTTAGGAATGATCGTGTACGTCACACTTCAGAGATACGAGCTTCCTTCCTGCTAGTGTTACGATTCCACTGTTATCATTCCTAATCCCAGTGTGATAGGATCCCCGACACCACACCGTGACAGAGCCTCCCCGTGTTTTACACATGCCTCTGGACACGCACTGCTGTACCTCTCCCCTAACCTCTTCCATACATACGGACAACAATTTGAATTGAGGCCGTTTCTAACGAGACTTTGACAAATGGTAGATGGATGGGCCGAAGCCCCAGATCCAGCCCTCAGGTCAGGCGTTTGCTGGATTTTACCCATGCTCTTCATTTGCTTCAAATAGTTTTTTAGGCCTGCCATTCATTTGTCGTCCACGTGTACACAGCATATGTCAGCTCTTTGGGAATCAGCTTGTTTATGTAAAATACTGCTCTATGCTTTTGGGCATTTTTTTGCAGATTCAACTAAAGAAATGGGAAAAGCTGTATGTTTTATGACAGGATGCCTTTTTTACACTTTAATAGTAAGTGTTGAGTGACTGGTCAAACAAAAGAAATATCCCTCCCAGTATGGTCAGGTACTGTCCTCAAAATGACTAAAAAGCAGCCAAAGACTGATGAGGAGTGCAGTGATGTTTAGAGGGAGGGCGAGATCGGATGCTGCGCTGCGGTGACTCCTAACGCGAGCAGCTGAGAGAGGAACACGTAAGGACTGATTGTTCTGCACAGACGGCCTCTCTGCTTTGTGTTCGTAGGGTTACAGCTGTACTCTGTCAGACTACCTCAGATTATTCACAGCTGTAGAAGACGCTGCTTCTAAACAGCAGTCATCAGGTTGTTTGACAGTAACACTCCCTGCACTGCAAACATATGAGAGCTGTCATCTTTAGAAATAAAAACACATTTCAGGGCTGTTAGCTGTGTTGGCAGGTTTCAGGGCTCCCCTCCCTGAGGGGCCAAATTACAAAATATTTCATCTTTTGCTCCTCAGAAGTGGCTTCATAGCTCTCTCCTTCTCTGTTCTGGTGTGTGTGCAGATGTCCCTGGAAGCAAATAGAAAACATGGCTCTCCTGAGAAAAAGTAAGTGTAACCAAAGTGTGATGCAAATGGATAAAGACTGATTCATGTCGTCCAGCAGTATTAGCTGACATGTAGCTGAGAAGTAACGTTAGCAGATTGTGTTGTCTGCATGTGCTTTGCATTCACGTCCACTGTGCATCCACTGGACAGCTGTTGCCAGTAAAGGTCCCCTTATTTTTCCCCAGGAAGAGGAGGCAGCCATGCACATGCACCAAATATCTATGGAATGGGATAGACAGCAGGCTGTAACGACTTATTCCTGAACTGCATGCGGTTGTTAAAAAGTAAAAGCTGCATGTGTGCAAATTTCAGTAACTCCAGTGTTTTTCACGCTGTTTTCTTTCTACAGAAAAGGCACATTTTCCACTTTACTCGCCTTCAGGAAATCCACCTTCTACTAGCCAAACCTTTAACACTTAACTCGACTGGTAACTGGATTCTCTCATACTGTGAGAGCAATCCTTAAGTGCTTTCACTAATCCGTGGTTCTAGGTAACGAGTCAGGATGCTGTGCAGACTCCAGTTAGCACTAGCTACAGTACCCGGACGGCTGCACAAAAACCAAAGTACGCTTGTGTTTGCAGACCCTCCTTCCTCTCTGGTGTGTCTCACAGCTGGAGGAAATACACAAAGCATTTTGAAAATGGACATGTTTTACTTTTTATAGTAACAGCTGATAATCACTTAATTATTTATGGGATGATTTATTCTCTGTCTTTGCTGTGCGACTGAGAATCACTGTACCATTGCTAGCATAAAGGTAGCCGTTACCTGCCTATTGTTGCAGCCAGCGTCTCTGTGAAGTCTTTTTTCTTTCTTTGGTTTAAAGCTTTCAGTCGCTTTAAGCCAACCTGAGCTAATGAACAGCAGACTGTTGTCTGGCTCAGCCATAAAGAGCCTCATTTTTATTTTTTATTATTCTTACTTGTACTTTCCTTTGACTGTGTTGGTGGAGGCTCAATCTGATGTCGCCGTGCTGATGTTCCTGGATCAACAAACTGATGTCGGTCCTGGTTCAACATCGATCACGCTGTAGTGATGGAAACAGCGTCACATCACTCAGCCCTAACCACAATCACATCCTGACCCTGACCTGTTTCACTGAGTGGACAGCTATGATGTCACAACGGTGTGATTGGTCAGATCCAATGTTGATCCTGGACATCACCAACATGAGGATATCAGTTGATGGAGAGAAATAGAGAGGATCAGAGGGAGTTTCTGTCTCTGCTGATGTAGAGCGAGCATGTGATAGCGTGTCAAAGGAGGACATGTGAGGATGGTGCAGGATGTGCATGAGACACAGTGATGATGGGCAAGCTGACAGATGAGGTCAGGCACAAGTCTGTGGTTTATGATGTTCCTTCTAAACGTAGACAGCTCTTGTTGTTTTACGGCATCAATCTGCTTTGAGACAAACTTCTTTAGTTTTGCACTCAAACACTGAGCGATCGCGTTTCAGTCAATCGGATCCTGCTGGTGCTGCTGGTGCTGATGGTGTGCCTCCTCCTGCGCAGTACACTGCTCAGAGCCTCCACTCGGCCAAGACTCTCAGGTGCGTCAGCGTTGGTCTTCACTACTTAATCTGAGAAATACTCACTAATGTTCCAAATGTGAAATATGTTACTCTCCTTAAGTGAAAAGGATCCCACTGAAATTGAGCATAAACCAGTCTAAACTCTTGATTCCTGACAGAGAACAGGAAAAGCCCCAAGAATGCAGGACAAGTTTCTCAGGAACACGCTGCAGAAGCGCATGATGTCGTGCCCGTCGTCATCTGTGCATCAGAGGAGCGCATGGGTGCCTCCATGGCAACCATCAACAGCATCATCAGCAACACAGACGCCAGTGTTTTCTTCTACGTTGTTACTCTTCGTGATGCTGTCAAACTCACGAGGTGCATCTTTGAACTACAAAAATATGAACCGCACTTTGTTCCAAATATGGAGATCAGTGGTTTTCTCCCAGTATTGTTGCCCAAAGTGAGTATTTCTCACCTAATCTTCCTTTTGTGTCACGTAGGAGGTACATAGAGAAGACAAAACTCAAAGGCATCCGCTACAAGATAGTGGAATTTAATCCGATGGTCCTTGTTGGAAAGGTGAAGCCAGATTCATCTCGACCCGATCTCTTACATCCCGTGAGTGCTGCATCCGTGCCATCAGCCAAACCAAGCACAGAGTTCCTGTCTCAAAGAAATAAAAAACTTTGTTTTGCAGCTCAACTTTGTGCGGTTTTACCTCCCTCTGCTCGACATCCTCCACTCGAGGGTTATATACTTAGATGATGACATCATCGTGCAGGGTACGCATGTCTACAGTCAGTCTAATAAAAGGATTCCATATTAAACCGAATGATTCAATAAGTGTTTAAATGATCTGTACACACATGTGTAATCTTCTACATTAGACACAACTGTGCTACCGAGGAGCGTCACACAGAGTTACTAAACGGCTGAATTCAGAGGTAGACCCTGACATGACCCAGTGAAGTCAAAGGAGCCCTTTATTGGCTCCTAGAGAACGAACTAAACCCAGAAGATCTCTAAATAAATACATCATTATTTGCCTTTACTCGGGTTCTGTTTGTTAATTATTAAAATGGGTTTTAGGATCTGAAGCATGAAAGTGTGACGAGTATCAGGATGGGGACAAATACAGCAGTCTGGTTGTGTTTCAGGTGACATCAGGGATCTGTTTAATATCAAGCTGAAGCCAGGACACGCGGCTGCTTTTGCCACAGACTGCGACCTTCCCTCCACACACGAGACGGTGCGCAGCATCGGGATGCAGGTGGATTTTTACGGCTTCTGTTATGATGTTAGACTTTTATGCCTCGTGTAAATCTCACATTAAAGAGGTTTTATTTGACATAGTAACATGTGGGAGGGATTCAGTCATTATTATTTGGTATTCTCCCCTCTGAGCTCGTCCCCTAGACAACCTACATGGGCTTCCTGGACTACAGGAAACAGGAAGTGAAAGACCTGGGCATCAACCCCAGCGACTGCTCTTTCAACCCTGGAGTCTTTGTGGCAGATATGAACGAGTGGAAGAAGCAGAAGGTCACCAAAGAGCTGGAGAAGTGGATGGAGGAGAATTTCAGGTAAACTCCTTAAACTAGTGTCATTTCCTAAATGTTACCAATATGAACAGTAGATTTGGTTTATGAAACTTTGATCTTATTTTACCTTGAAAGAGAGGTCAAAGGTCAAGCGCTACATATTTTAGATCTCTATACGGTACTGTCTATACGTTGACAATGCACAGCAAACCTGTAAGGATCACAGTTGTAAGTTATAAAGGCTTTGTGTCAGCTTTCAACCAATAAAACTTTATTAAGTTGACCCCGAAGAGCCACACGTCACTCCCTACATGACCTACCTGTCGTTACATCTGTCAGCTTACTAAAAGTGTGTTTGTGGATTTAAACCTTTTATTGCAGATGTTCCTACAGTTTTGCATATGAAGGCCAGTGTCTGGCATTTAGAGTGAAGCAGCTGTGATGGCGAGCGATATCCCATTGAACCACTCGTAACTACAGTTAGCTAACTAGCCTCTGTATGTTGCAGCAGTGCTGTGGTTTGGGGTGAGATACGTACACAGAGCTGTTCCCTTTCAGTCAGTTCACTCGGTACAACACATAAGTACGGGATATCACGCCCTCGCGTGCCCTGGCTGAAGAAACCTTTATTCACATGTGATGACACGCGCACGCCCCGCCTGCACATATAGCCGCTGTCATCACAGTCGTCCCTCAGTTCTTACGCTCTTCACCTCGCGGAGAACACCTCTGCTGAGTTGGACTGCCCCTGTTGGTGTTAGCTAGGGCCGCCACAAACGATTATTTTGATAGTCGACTAATCAGATCATCATCCATTGGACGTACAGCGTACAGCTTATTGCACCAGCAGCATCTGCTCTTATTTAACTATCATTAGCTTACAGCTTTGTGTTTAAGGTGCTAACTAAAAATAAAGACAAGATGATAGTTTATTACATTTAAATTAAATCTGCAGATTGTTTCAGTGAAGTTTAATAAACTCCTTGCTATCTAAAATATAACAAGACACTGGAGTAAATTCTCCAGAGTCTCACACTTCTGATAATCAGCTGTCTGCTTGACATTTATTCAGCTGTGTAAAAACTATAACTTTAATCTCAGCCAAACCGATTTACTCAGGAACAAATAAATAAAATACTAAAAAAAAGCCAAACAATAACATTGTTAAGTTATCTAAGTGACTTATATATATGTTTAACCTGAGTAGCGAAAGACGGCGGTGGGTTTGAAAACGATTTGCCGGGAGTCCGGTGTTCTCACGGCTCTAGTGACCTAGCCCCCGGCTCGCTAACGAGCTAGTGGGTAACAGATGTCTCCGAAAACGTCGGAGCGCTTTTGAAAATATGTGGTGTCCTGATAAACTGAGCAGATATTTGAGGTTTACACAGCTACATTCTCGCCTGAAAATATGTTAAACGTTTATTTTGTGACCCAGAAAGAATAATAAGAGTAAAGTTAAAATCCGGCGTGCAGCTCGGATCTCAGCTGACCCTTCTCACCCTGGACACAGTCTGTTTGACCTGCTCCCCTCAGGCAGGAGGCTCCGGTCCATTCGCACCAGAACCTCTCGCCATAAGAACAGTTTCTTCCCCTCTGCTGTTGGACACATGAACAATAACCATATGACTGTACCCGCCACTAACACATGACCCTACGCTGTGTCACTGCATCATTCCATGTTTGGCACTGATCACCACCTGCACTCATGCACATATCTTTCCACGTAGCACTCTATTCTTATTCTCATGTATATATCTCATGTATATCTCATGCACATATCTTTCCACGTAGCACTTTTAATTCTTATCCCTACTTTTATTTTTTCATGTCTATTTAAGTGCTATTTATGACAGCATGTTTGCACTGAAGCACCGCAGCAATTTCCTAATGTTGTAAACCTGCTCAACATTTGGCAATAAACCCCATTCTGATTCTGATTCTGATTCTAAAACTAACTAGCTGCCGCCATTGTTGGAAACTGAGCTGGGCCGCGCTATGAATTCTGGGATAGGTTGGGCCACGAAGTATACACCCCACCCATCCTTCAAATCTGGGGAAATGAAGGGTCCATTTGTCGGAGTCTTTGAATTTGGACAGTCTTCGTCGTGTCGCTGTAACATAATCGGCCTACTAATGCGGGTACAGGAGGATTCTTGCGTCTTTTGTGATCTTTTGTGATCTTACAAAGCTTCAAACGACGCGTCGACTATTAAATTAGTCGTCGACGATTAGTCGACGTAATCGTGACTAGCCGACTAATCGTGGCAGCCCTAGTGTTAGTCTCCACCGTGCAGTTGGTGCGTAGGCTGCCCGCGGAGTGCTAATTTCAAGTTTTCCTGTGCAGCGTTTTGCTTTGCGTTTTTGAACTTTGGACTCCAAACCTAAGCGAGCAAAGCACAAATCTTCTGTTCGCCCCTGTCCTCAGGGATGTGGTTTCTCTTTGCACGACAGCGACCAGCACAATGCCTGCCCCGTCTGCCTGGGGATCGGCCACGCTAGGAGAGCATTGATGGAGCCCGAAGCCTGTGCGTTTTGTCGCCAGCTCCGGCGCTCGACCCTGGAAAGACGGGTGACGTTTGTGGAAAAAGTGCTGGGACGCTCCGCTGTCCCACCGCATGACCCTCTCCTTTCAGAGTCTGGAGCCCCGGCTTCGTCCGAGTCCGAGGACAAGGATTATCCGGTCGATGTCCCCGCAATTAGCTGGGCTGACCACATGGAATATGTTGACGGGTTAGTTGATGACGAGCCGGAACCATGCAGGAGCGCTGACGGACTTCTCTTTCCTCCCTGTTTCGCCGTGCTGCTGAGAAGCTGCAGGTGGACTGGCCCTCTCCTCCGCCAGCTCAGAGGCCGTCGCGGCTCGCGGGTTTTTTCCTCCCACCGGAGCCCGCAACAGCCAAAAACTGCCTTCCCATGTTCCCAGACTTTCTCTGCGAGCTAACAGCATCATAGGACAAACCTCTGTCACTGTGCCCGGCTATGGACAGTACATGGAATTGGACTTAGCTAACCCACCCCCTATGAAGAAGAAGATTTATCGGGCTCAGGCCGGCACTGCTCACGCCATGAGCTCCGTCACCATGCTCCAGACGTACCGGGCGATGTGCCTGGTGGAGCTCGGATCGCTGGTTCCTGATGACAGCCCGCTGGCACCTCTTCTTAATGAGGTCAGAGTCACCACAGATCACATCCTCCGTACCTAGTGCTGCCGTTCGGGCTGTCGCTCGCTCCTCGCACCTTTGCAAAATGTGCCGAGGCAGCGCTAGCGCCCCTCAGAAAGAGAGGCATCCGCATCTTAGCCTACCTGGACGACTGGGCTCTCGTAGCTTGCTCCAGAGAGCAGGCGGAGACACAGCTGTCGCTGGTTCTGTCACACATTCAGACACTGGGGTTCTCTGTGAACGTTCAAAAGAGCTCGCTAATCCTGAGTCAGCAGATTTCCTTCCTCGGTTTGGAAATATGCTCGCTTTCCAGCCGCGCACGTTTGTCGGAGCACAGAGTGGCCGCGTTTCATCGCTGCCTCGCTCAGTTTCAGCTGGGACGCAGACTGCGTTTCCAGACCATATTAAGCTTGTTGGGCACGATGGCATCTATGATCGCCGTAGTGCCGCTTGGACTGTTAAAAATGAGAGCGTTTCAACGCTGGACTCTCTCTCACCGTTTGTGTGCATCGCGTCAGCTCCGGAGGAGGCTGCCGGTAACCACGTCTTGCATGCTAGCTCTCCGTCCTTGGAGGGAGCCCGGGCTGCTGCATCAGGGCTCTCGGATTGGGAGGGTTTTGTTTCACAAGGTGGTGTCCACAGATGCTTCCCTAAGAGGGTGGGGAGCGCTGTGTGAGTGTGCATCAGTGAGAGGGATCTGGTCCGCACTTAGAGCTGTTAGCAGTGTTCTTAGCTCTAAAGCATTTCCGTCCAGTCCTGGAGGCCAGCATGTCTTAGTCAGGACGGACAATTCAACAGTGGTGTCTTACATAAACAGGCAGGGAGGAACACGCTCTCCTCCCCTGTTGAAGCTGTCTCGCTCTCTGCTGTTATGGTGTTCATTTTCTGTATCTAAGAGCCACCCATGCCCCAGGCCACCTGAACCTGGGGCCGGACCTTCTCTCCAGGGGGTCCTCTGGTGAGAGAATGGAGGTTGCACCCTTTAATAGTGGCTCAGATCTGGGATCTATTTGGCAAGAGGCAAGGGGCAAATAGTGGTTCATCCGTGCCCGGATCTGTGGCGCCTTCATGCTTACCTGCTGAGAGGTTAAACTTGATTGCTAAGGGTTTGCCACCTAGTGTGATAGCGACAATTCAGAGCGCTAGGGCCTCATCTACTAGAGGCTTGTGCGCTTACAAATGGCGAGCCTTCGAGCAATGGTGCCAGGACCGCCACACTCTCCCATTTCAGTGTTTTGACATTCCCGCAGGAGCTGCTGGATAAGGGCCTTTCATTTTCAACAATTAAGGTTTATTCAGCAGCTATATCTGCTTGTCATATTGGCTTTGACGAGGTGACACCAGGTGCACATCCCCTCGCCATACGTTTTCTGAAAGGAGTTTGCCGGCTGAGGCCCGTGCTTAAGTCCAGTGTCCCTGCTTGGGACTTGTCTTTGGTGCTGGAGGCCCTTTGTAGCCCCCCGTTTGAACCCACTGAGTCTGTGGATATGAAATTTCTTTCATATAAGACTGCATTACTTCTCGCTTTGGCTTCAGCAAAGCGAGTGGGTGACCTTCATGCGCTCTCTGTGCATCCCTCCTGCACACAGTTCTCTCCTGATGGTCTCAAGGTCGTATTGCGTCCAAATGCTGCCTATTTTCCCAAGATCATGCCTGCGTCTTATAGCTCAGTGGAGTTTGAGTTGCTGAGCTTTTGCTCCCCTCCTTTTGCATCTGAGGAGCAGAGGAGGATGCATTCTCTTTGTCCAGTGCGTGTGCTACGCACCTACATTGAGCGCACTCAGAGTGTGCGTTTACGGGACCAGCTGTTTGTCTGCTTCGCTAATCCAAATAGAGGTAGAGCTCTGTCCAAGCAGAGGCTGTCCCACTGGATTATAGAAGCTATCTCACTGGCGTACGGCACCGGTGGTCTTGCTTTGCCCCAGGGGGTGAGAGCTCATTCCACCAGGGGGATGGCAACCTCATGGGCTCTTTTTAAAGGGGTGCCTGTAGCTGATATTTGTGCGGCAGCTAGTTGGGCATCACCGCACACTTTTGTGCGGTTTTATCGGTTGGACGTTACAGGCCCTTCGGTGGCTCATGCTGTCCTTTCTGCTGGGTCTACCACTCACTAAGGATGTGGTGGTCCGATTCCGGTTCGGTGACTGCTCTGTGGGGCCTGTATATATGTCCCATACTTATGTGTTGTACCGAGTGAATCGACTGAAAGGGAACGAATAGTTATATCTATAACTTCTGTTCCCTGAAGGAGAAGAACGAGGTACAACACAAGGAGGCCCCACTGAGAAGCTTGGCTCAGTGAACAGCTGCTATCAAACTGATGACTGTGATGACAGCGGCTATATGTGCCGGCGGGGCCGTGCGCGTGTCATCACACGCCATCTGCCTTAAAGGAGTGAATAAAGGATTCTTCAGCCAGGACATACGAGGGTGTGATATCCCGTACTTATGTGTTGTACCTCGTTCCTCTCCGGCTCCCAAAATTCTTCCCTACTTCATCCCAATTACAGAGTTCTTTCAGATGCGGTTGGCATGTCTGAATTATGCACAGAGTCCTTTTGCATGCGTGCTGTGACCGGCCAAAGCAACACTAAAAGAGTCGTCTCCTGAAGAGCCGGGGTGTGTCAGGAAACTGTGATTATCGTCTAGAGTTTTATCTTTTTATCTTTGTTTATGTGGTTTTCATTTGTTCATGTATTGTTTGTTATCAGTCACTTTTTCATTGATTAGGTTTAAGCACTAAAAAGTACTTTCCCCCACGAGCGTATTGATCCCATCAGCAGATGGGTGACGTAAACTGTTTTGTTCGGAGCCCTGCAGAGGTAGCTGATGGAGGCTCACTGGTGTATAACAAAAAAATCTCTTTCTTTTGTTTACACTGGCCACTGCATCTGATTTTAAACCCTTCTCACCAACAGACAAAACATATACAGCAGTGCCATGGCAGGGGGCGTGGCAACCCCACCCATGCTAATCGTGTTTCATGACAAATACACGATACTGGACCCTCTGTGGCACGTCAGGCACCTGGGTAAGATTGCTCTCCACACACAGCTGGAATATTAGTGCCACCGTCAGCTCAGTTTCCAAAAAGCTTCGCTGTGTGTCCAGGCTGGAGTCCGGATGTCCATTACCCAGAGAACTTCCTCCAGGAGGCGCACCTGCTGCACTGGAATGGCCCGTTCAAACCCTGGAATTACCCTGCTGTGCATTTAGATCGCTGGGAGAAGTGGTTCATCCCAGACCCCTCTGGAAGGTTCTCTTGGGAACGTCCTGACGACGACAGCTGAGGTCCGTGGCTGCGGCACCAAGGAGCCGGTCAGAGGGTCACGTGACACACGCTTACAGGGACGGGGCGAAGGAGTAAATCCACGAATGTAACACTGAAACAGCGAGACACCAAACTGACCAATCTAAAGAACATAAGAGACTGAATGCTGTTGTGTGTTTGTGAAACGTGTATTTCAAACCTAACATTTAAGATTGTTTCTTATCTTTATATGTTTTCCATACTGCTTCATATATCTGTCATCGCTATCCTTAAGCTAACAATACAACTGTATAGTTTTCTACCCAGGATATATTACTGATTTCATTTAGTGTGCAGCTCCAGACAGTGATGGGCTGAGAGGCCCCAGGAGCCCTGAGGACTGTGAAAAGCTGGTTCAAATATAACGTCGTCTCGCGTGGCAGAGCCTGCGTCCGCTCTGTAACGACAGGCTGCGGTGGGCTCTTTTGCGCCCCCAGCAGGTCAGACAGTGCACATTTCATGTGAACTTGAACAGGCACACTCGTCGTTCCCAGACATGAAGCCAGTGACTCTGTTCATGCCTCTTTTCTCTCTCATCTGTGAGGCTGACCTTTCTGAGCGAACAGTCGTTACATTCATGCTTCCTCACACAGAACACGGCGGTCATTTAACTTGTGCTGTCAGATTTTCAATCGAACCAAACATCTACTAAGTCAATCACCATTTAGGTTTCCTTTTCTTAATTAGCCTTTTATAAAAGTGGCTCAGTGCAGATATAAATATATAACCTGCAATTTGTTAAAACCAGTCTTGCCAGGCACACTGGGTAGTTCATATGATGGCAACGGTAAAATGCGTGTTTGAAACTGCGACAAAGTTCACAGCAAGAAGTGGATGTAAGTAGAAGTCACAGTGGATTTCTGGGATGAGCACTTTCTATTGTTGTTATTACTCTTTAGTTTCATGTTGCACTCACTGCTTGGCTTGTTCAGCCCCACAAACTTCACGCGTGAGCAGAAGGCAGCCTGAAGTTTTCAGATTTGTGCCTTTCACAACATGAGCTCCCGTTACTGGTTCCAGCCACCAGAGGGCGTGATGCTCCTGGTAGTCTGTACTCGATGTGAAGCAGCGACTGTCACTGCTGCAGTTGACTGTTGGTAAGAGACACATGATTCCTCCTGAGAACAAAATAAAAAACAAACACACACCTGACCACCTCATTCTATTTAAATGAGTTTATTCTATTTACACAGCACCAGGTCACAACATCAGTCGCCTCAAGGTGCTTTATATTGTAAGGTAGACGCTTTGGCGACAGTGGGAAGGAAAAACTCCCTTTTAACTGGACTGGTCTCATAACTCAGACGCCCTCTACAGGAAAGGGCAGAGCAGGCTGTACCTGCTGCGGAGACTCAGGTCGTTTGGAGTGGAGGGCCCACTCCTGAAGACCTTCTATGACTCTGTGGTGGCTTCTGCTATCTTTTATGGCGTGGTCTGCTGGGGCGGCAGCATCTCTGCTGGGGACAGGATGAGACTGAACAGGCTGATCAGAAGGGCCAGCTCTGTCCTAGGATGCCCTCTGGACCCAGTGGAGGTGGTGAGTGACAGGAGAACGGCGGCTAAGCTGTCATCCCTGTTGGACAACATCTCCCACCCCATGCAGCAGACTGTGACAGCACTGAGCAGCTCCTTCAGTGGGAGACTGCGGCACCCACGGTGTGGGACGGAGAGATTTCGCAGGTCTTTCCTCCCCACTGCTGTCAGACTCCACAACAAAGACTCCAACTGATCAAACTCATCCACACATGTGCAATAAGACTAAGTGCAATACTCTTTTCTGACAAAGTTGTATTTTTACTCAGTTGTATACAGCATTTGTATTCTATTTTTATCCTGTTGTATATTTTATTCTATTCTGTACAGTTGTGTTCTCTAATGTTTGCTATGTAACTTTGCACTGTCACTTTCTGCTGTTTCTGCTGATCTTATCTCATAAACCTCCGGCAGAGCCAGGCTCAGGGAGGGGCGGGGCCATCTGTCGGGACCTGCTGAGAAATTCACTGTTATGTTCTCTGTCCTTGAGCTGTCCGCCCTCACACACGTGGTCACTTTCCCCTAAAAATTGTTTAATCTGGTTCTCTTTATCTACTTGTAGGGTCTGTGCAGGATCCACTGATGTGTAAGTTTCCAACTTTTCCTTCGGTGTTAAGCTTTGTCTGGTTTGTGTGTCCATTTATTTTTGTGTCCTCGCTGCAGCTCTGTCCGACTGCATCGTATAAGAAAAGCAGCAGACGTGGACGCTTCAGGTCAGTACAGGCTTCACTTTGTAATGTCAGGGTGAGAATAGAAGAGCTGGATCACCTCTGACAGGATTCTCTGTAAAGAAGTGCAGAGACTTTGAGTACAGCCAGTGAGCAAAGCCAGAGAAGTCAGTGTATCTGAACCAGAAATCAAGAACAGGGAGTACGCTCCCAAGGACAGTGTCAGAAAAACGCCTAACGCATCCTTTTTCTGCCCACGTCTTTTCTCATCTGTGTTGCAGTTTCCAGGCTTTTATTTCTCCATTTCCCTACTTTAAATGTCTGCTTGTTTATTGCTGATATTGTAATAACACATGCTTTTGTTCATAGACATAAGAGCAGCTTCCTGTCTGCAGTGTCTGTGCTCCATCTGTCTGGATGTGTTCACCGTTCACCAGACGCAGCTTCTGAACAACTACGGCACACTGCACGGCGACGCTCGTGTCCCTGTTTTTCACATTAAACTGCACTTTTATTTCTGCTGCTCACGTTATGCAAACCGCTGCAGGAGGAATAGACTGACAGCTTCATCTAAGATCTGGAAAAACTCCAGTTCCTCCAAAGTTTCCCGTTCCCGAAGTCTGTTCCATCCACCGAACACTGGACCGAGGGCAAAGTTGAGCCGTTATGTGGCGGCAGAAAGAGAACTGTTGATAAGCTGCAGGAGACGCTCAGAAATGGACGAGCTGTGCAGTAACTGTGAAGTGAAGAGGGCCTAGAAGTATGCAGTGGATGTGACTCTTGGTCCTGACACAGCAAATATCTATCTCATCCTTTCTGATAATGGGATGCAAGTCAGCCCTGGAACAGTCAAACAGAACCTTCCAGACACCCAAAGAGATTTTCTGTTGTTGAGTTTGAGGAAAGCAGCCAGATTTAGTTTGAGGTTCAGGACAGGAAGACTGGATCTTAGCCCAAAGACCGTGAACAGGAAGCAGGCAGTGAATAGCTGTACGTTTGGCCTCACGCGGTGGCTGTTTGTGGACCCTGAATCGGAGCTGGTCACTTTTATAATATAGATGGGCCGTATGATAAAGTGTTACACAGAACGAATAAAGTATGAACTGAATCTCCTTCCTGTTTTCCTTTGGAAATAAGTCTGTGAAACTCTTTTAGTAGTGAACTAAACCACAGAGTAACATCCCCAAACTGCCAATACTCAGTGTAGATGACCTCACCGATGTCATGCAATACAAGTCATAAAATAGGATCAGACGTACAGTCACATCGATCCTTTTATTTTCGACTGTGGAGCTACGTATTCCTTTCTTCAGGTATTCACAAGCGTGATTATATTGGGAATCATTTGTTTAATCGTTTCACAGCTGACTGAGATTTTTTCACTTGTGTTTGAATTGGTGTCTAAAATTAAATATTTGTTTGTTACATTTTTCTGCTCATGATTAAGATGAAGTGAACTCGAGAGCCTAACTCACGTCATATTGACTCTTTCCTTTTGCTAAAGCATATAGTTAGGGCTGGGTAGTTACACTGCAGTAGGTGTAGGCTGCCGGGGATTCCCATGATGCACTGGTGTTTCTGCTTCACTCACTATGTATTAACAGACCTCTCTGCATTGAATCATATCTGTTATTAACCTCTGTCTCTCTTCCACAGCATGTCTTTATCCTGTCTTCCTTCTCTCACCCCAACCAATCACAGCAGATGGCCACCCCTCCCTAAGCCTGGTTCTGCCGGAGGTTCCTTCCTGTTAAAAGGGAGTTTTTCCTTCCCACTGTCGCCAAAGTGCTGCTCATAGGGGGTCATATGATTGTTCTACCTTACAATATAAGGCGCCTTGAGGCATCTGTTGTTGTGAGTTGGTGCTATATAAATAAAATTAAACTGAACTGAAGTTTATTAGAGATAACTGTGGAATAGAGGGGAGATAATCCGGGGATTTCTCTTGCTTTTGATTAAAGAAAAGTAGTAGACGAGTCAGTCTCGTCTGCTTCTTAGTTTTTGTGAGTTTAAGAAATTCTTTCTCTCTGACATCAGAGATTATGGTCTTAACTACCAGTCCAGGACTTATGATAGTGTTTGCTCTTTCTAAACGACTGGCATGAGAACTAAATCTAATAATCAAAGATGCTAAATTGTGCGTGGCTGATGCTATGACTACAGTAGGTTGTGCGTTTTGGGATACTCCTAGTTCATGCTCATTAGCTGTAGGAGTGGATGTTCGCTGTTATTATGTGTATAATTCCAGGAATGACGTTATTCAAGTTTTCCTTCAAAGTCAAACAGGTTTGAACAATATAACAATGTCGTGTCAAGGTCACAGATACTGTTTGTGTGCGTCTGTAGGCTGGGTGTATGTGCTGGAAAGAAGACAGGGACTTTGAAGGATCCCTCCCCTGCACACCTCCTGCAGTGGTTCAGTGGTTTTTCTGGACGTTGGGAGCTTGCACCGAATACGTCAGAGGTGGGGGTGTGTGCTGTTGACGTCATCGGGGCATCAGAGTTCAAGTTCAGGTTGTTGTGGAGTTGTTTTAGTCACGTGTGTGCTCAGCATCCCAAGGACATCTGAACTGGAGCTGTTTAATGAAAACATGTGAAAAAACCACGATGCAAACATGTCACGGAAGCACTTTCTTCAGGTTTATGAACGGATTCCTTTCTTTTCCAAGCTCAACACACTTACCTCTTTATCACAGAGATATTTCTAAAGCCTGTTCAGTGCCAGACCCTTATCTCAGACACATTTCAACAACCAAAACATAGCTCTTGATATGTGTGTGAAACTGAAACTCCCTGCTGCCATTGTGTAATAGTGCAGACCTATTCAAAGTTATAACCTGACAGTGGCTGCACGGTGGCTCTGTGTCCTTTACTGCAGAGAGGCACTCTCCCCAGCACCCAGCTCAACAGCTGATCACTGCCCAATGATGTCAGACACACTGAGAGTGATTCTATCATTAGGGGTGTCTGTCCTCACCAGCTGACTCGTCGTCTAGCTCTCTGTGCTCTGTCCTGTGTGAGTGTGTGTTCTGGTTTTGGTGCAGAAGCAGGACTCTGGGACTTCTGCCTCCACATTTCTGTAATTTTGCACCTGCTCCTGACGTCCTTGTTGTGGCCTCTTCTTCAGGGAGTGGCAGATCTTCAGGCCTCACTGGATTGCTTTTGGGCAACAGTTAGTGTTCCTCGCCTTGAGTACATGTGTCCATTTAGAGAGAGATACTTGCCTGTGTTTTCCTTGTGCTCAGGTTTGCCTGGAGAATTCCCTGTCATGAGCAGTCTTTGTTTGGATTGACAGAGTCTGGAAACTGTCTGGAAAATGTGCAAAGCCATAGTGGAGTTCTGGTGATTTTAAAACTGTATGCAGTGTACTTTGACTTGCAGCCCTGTGTGTGAATCCTACCTGTGTTTAGACAGAGCGATCCATCCAAGAAGCTGGACGCAGCGGGCTTGGGTCCTGTTAGTCCCGCCCTCACTAGGCTAGGTTTTCTAATGCAGTGCTTGTTGGCTTTAGGTCAGCAAAGTCAGACATATTCAGACTGTCAACAGAAAACTGTTGCAAAGAAGAGCATTAAGGTGGGGAGAAGCAGTTTAACCCAAATCTTTCCTTTGAGGAGTTTAAAAACAAATCCAGATGCAGCAGCTCACAGGTTGCTCTCCCTCAAACACGGTAAGTGGAATATGTCAGATTCTCTAGAATTCTGGACAATGAGCGAAGAGACAGACTGCGAGGAGAAAATCTCTACGCAGCCTTTTTGCAGCCGTAATGATGGACTGAAAGGAGAACCAGCTACCAACCAGCTTAAATAATTTCCCCCAGGGATCAATAAAGTATTCTGATTCTGATTCTGATTCAACACTCCTCAGTCACCCTTGGCTCATCTTCCACAACCCAAAATATTGACTGCAGAACAAATAGCATCTCAGATT